TAGTCATTTTCCCGCTCCTCTTCAGATTTCTTTTTTAGCTGTCATTTACTGCTAATCTCAGATTTCTTTTTTTAGCTGTCATTTACTGCTAATCTTTGACCGTTTTGCTGTGTTTCTTGCTAATATTAAGCTTTCAACTAATCAACTAATATTTCAAGCTATCAACCTTTTGATGTCGTTAAGCCTTTTTAATTAACTTTTTCACATTTTGGTTACTTTAAGAACTCATTGGTTCATTTGTATTTACCTAAACTCAAATTTGCCTATCACTATGCTAATCTCGGGCTAGCTTAGCAAATGTGTTATTTAGCCTTTGTAGCTATTTTTAGGTTAATTCCTGCCGTGGATTCAGTTGAAATCTGTTTATTTGGAGACACGTCAGTGCAGCGGTGCTTTTATCGACTCGGGATCGTTACATTTAGGGAGAGAAACTGCAGTTGCAGTTGCATTTGTTCACGTCTGTGCGACGACAGAAGAATGTTGGGTCAAACACAGAAGCATAACTGCTTTGAACACAGAGCTGTTCTGATGCTGACGGCTGATTGGTCCACGGACGTCTGTGCAAGCAGACCCCAATGCAGCAGTTAAAGACCGTCCTCCACTGAAACGCTGCTGCCTAGCAACAATGTGGAACAATGTGGAGCACTCGTAAAGGGGGGGTGGGAGGGCTGGGGGGGCTGGGGGGAGAGGGAGGGAGGAGAGAGAGAGGGAGGGAGGGAGGAAGGGGGGGGTGAGGCAGGTAGAATACAGCAGCAGTGATGGAGGAGAAGGTGTGGGTGAGAGAGCGATTTGTATTTACCCGCGGGGTCGCTCCATTTTCTTTCAACGCTTTTTCTTCACATGTTGTCGTACAGTACACGCAGTACACGCAGTACACGCAGCAGGAGAATAAAAATACAAGATACTACTCTGTCAATGCGTACCTCTGTACTTTGGGGTACTTCATCTCCGAGATGACATTGGTCGTTTCTGTTTGGCTTTGTTTCAGATCCGGGGGCCACATGTTGTCCACCCAGTCCACCTGGTCCACCTGGAACAGCAGTCGGAAAGAAACGCAAAAAACAGTTCAACTCAAGCCACTGTATTTATCTAATCTGGTTTGATTTCTGTCTTGTTTTGGTTTTTTTTTTTGTACCACTGTTGGTCGAAAGATGAGGTTCTCCAGTTTGGTGTGACTGAATTCCAGGCTGATGACGTTGAAGAGTTTGTCCCGCT